CACACACACAACTACGACAGCTAGATCAGGTACTCCAGGACCCTAAGATTAAGATCGGAACAGATCAAGCTCATTTGGTGCAAATTAACCATTCCCGTCCCCCCAAATTAACGACACTTACCAGTCGATCTTCTCTGTCTTGTGCCGATCTGTTTTCACGGGGGCACCCCCTGTCAAACCCCGGCAAAACCCTATCCCCCACTCACCCTCTCTTCCTTCCTCCAGCTCTCTTAGCCTCGCTTTCCCGCCCTCCTCTCTTCCCTGCCTTGCCTTCCACAATCCTCGGACTGATCACATCAACCCATCAAGATCCGCGACCATACGAATAAGAGTGCAGTAAACCTTCTTAATCCCACCTCTCTTCCAAACCCCTCCTTGAGCTGAAGGACCAGGCTATATACTGACCGGTGAGCCCCCTCCTTCCATAGGCGTTTTTCTTCTTCTCAGCTCTCAGCCACCTCCATGGCCTCGAATCCCACCCTTCGACGCTCTCAACAACACCTCCACTTCCACTTGCATCCCATCCGTATATGCGCAATGCAGTCATAGATCGACCCCGCTTCTGGCCGGTCACCGGGCCGGCTGAAGCCAATCAACACTCCTGTTAATTGTTGCAGTGCATGCAGCCAGCCACCTGATACCCTGCGCTGATTAGAACGAAGTAATCAATAGGGCTTAGCATTCATGAATTGCTTCTGTTGTTATTGTTCCTTGATACGTGCAGGTATGCAATGTGCGTGTGTTAGCTTTCTTGTGCAAATGTGCATCATGTGCTGAGGCGGCCCAGTACGACCTCTCCTTCCACCGTGGACTGGAGCACAGGTGCTGCCGTGGCCGGGCTGATGACGCACGATCCTTCACTGATCTAACGGTCATAGATTTTGCCATCAAATCAACACCACGGCTGGACTGATTGATTCGCTGTAACACCCGTTCTCGCCGCCGCCCCGCCGGACTTCAGCCGCCGTAAACGAAAAACAGACCTTTGATGTACAAAAATTATCTACAAAAATTATCCATCGATATCTTACCTCAGGTCCCAGGTCCCGTCCTAGGTCGCCGTTACCCAGATTCTCCGTTTCTGGCCGTCGATCTCGATAACCTGTCGTCAAGGACGAAGGGCCTCGCTCCACTGAACACCATTTAACCGTATCTGTAGGTAGGTGGTCATTCTCCCGACGCACTCATAGGGCCTCGCTGCACTACACTCCACATGCACAAACGACAAAAAAGATGGCAAGGCATCTTTCCGCGTTCTAGCCGTGGATTCCGTCTTTTTTTGCACATGTTGTGAAGAGTAGGCCCGTAGTCCTTGATCAGTCCGAATGTGTATATTGCGCCAGAGACAGTGGAGTTTCATCTCGAATGTTTAGTGGAGCGAGGCCCAAAAATCAAGTCAAGACAGATGGGACCTCGCCATGGGAAGGAGAAGCTTTCTTTTTTTTTTCCCCGTAAGGAAGGAAGTATTCCGACATGTAATGTCGGACTTCTTTTGTCAAGATGGTGGGCAGACCTCTGTACACTGTGCAGACGTCGAGGACGAGGTTCCACATACGTTGTTTTTTTTTTTGAGAAAACTCCCATTACAGACGTCGAAGACGAGGTTCCGGTAGGAGACTTGGTGTTGGATTTAAGTAGGTTTTAAGATGATGTACCAAGGAAGGCATTGTTGTGTGATCCAAAAGGTTAACCGGGTTCGTAAGAGAAGAAGGTTAAGTGGGTTCCCAGCTGGTCTGGGACCGTAAGCTAAACCTGCTGAAGATAGTGAATTCAGTATTGAAAATGATTATTGAGGAAGCTCGAATTCGTTTTTTGTGGATTTTTATTTGTTTTGTTTTCACTTTATTGACTTGTTATTGTTTCTCAGAAGAATTTGTTTTTTCATTAGCTAAACCTTTTCTTGTTCTAGGCATAGAAAAACCATCATTTATTTGCACACAAATGACTGAAGCTTTGAAAACATATATGCAAATTTCCCTAAGATTAGAGTGTGCATCCAGCTATATCCGTAAAACATTCATTTACATTACTTGGATGGATCAATCTGCCGGGATAACTCCGGGTTGAATTGTGAGGTTCCCGGCCTCCTATTATTGTTTGCTGTTAATGAAGGTCAATTCTTTAAAAAACAAAACAAATCAAAAGACCAGGTTCCACAAAATCGATGAATTGAGGCCGGGGACCTCACAAATCCACCCGGAGTTATCCCGGCAGCCGGTTTAGCTTACAGGTCTGAGCCTGCGAAAGATCCAAAGTCGCTGCCTTTCTCCAAATCCGACTGTAACTCCTGTAATAGTCTGTGCGATTAAACTTCTCTATACAACTACATACAACTAAAAGTTGTAGCGGTCCCGCCGTCGCACGCAGCCGTGGGCCCACGGAAAACCGTGGGCCGGGAGGGGCCAGCCGTGGTGTGACGGACCCGCCGGGATGGCGGTCCGTCAGGATCAAGACGAAGGGATGAGGGTGGGGGAGATGGAGATGGAGCTGGAAGGGACAGCGCAGCTCCAACGCAGACTCAACACGCACGTACTCCAATCTGTGCAAAATGAAGAATGCCACAAAACAGACTGCAGCTGGGGTATACCCCCAGCGGACTGACTKGACTGGACTGGACTGGMCTGGTACCRACARTGGTACCGGGCAGGACTGGACTGGACTGAATAACCGCACGGCCTGTGGGGTCAGGCCACGGCCGGGTCCCACAGGCCGGACTGGCAAATAGCCAAATAGGCCCTGGCTGTGGGCCAGGGCAGATGAAGGCCCGCTGCACG